TCCCACGCAAAATAAGCCCATCTAGCAAGAAATACCTTCATAATGATATTTTTTGTGATAGGATTATCTACTCACCCCGTTCACTCCTCTTCTCTTGCTTCCTCAACTTCTTTTCATAAGCCTTGTCACTCAAGTCATTCTCATGCTTTCGTCGGCAAGAAGTTTGGTGTGCTCCGATACCGCGTGTGTTAAAGGGCAAGTTACAATACTGGCAATTACAAGGGGGTTCAAGAATTTAAAAAAAGTAGCTGGGGTGGAATTTTTTTGTAAGGCCCTGTGTGCTTGACCTACCTACCTACATAATCAGGCACATGCCTATATATGGCAATATGACATCATCATCATGATCGCTCTCATCCTCTAAGGCTTCGCATACCCAATTTCGTGGGGCTATCTCCAATGCAACACATTGTAGGTGGTACTAAAAAATAAGTGAGTGTAGTGATTAACTTGTGCAAGACTGATACTCACCTGTTGAGTCTCACATCCAACCATTTTACCAAGCCATTGCATCCTGAGTGCAATACCACACTGCACAGGCATCTGTTTAGAGTGTCTGATGTGTCGAAAGCATCAAGATGATTCAAGTTTTGAAATCAGGTCACACAGCATACCAATTGGTGTCAAGAACTGGTCTCTAACTGTTTTGTCAGTAAATTGTGATTGATTAAAACATTAGACAAAAATTTGATGATGATTAGACTGCGAAAAACAATTTTGAAGCCAGAAATTGGGCTGGATATAATGAAATATAATATCCAGTCAAGATAATGTACTATACAATGATATTCTAGATGCAGGAATACTGTAAATCACCTTGGAAAACCAATTTAGGACTATCTTGTAGAGGGTTCCAAAAATCTTTTTTTTGGCCTATGGCCAACCAACCTACCCAACCCCCGGTCCAGCATTCAGATCCCTGAACCCCCTTGGGCAATTAACCTTTTCTTTTGGCTTCTGACACGTCGATTTATGAGCCCCGAGGGCACGCTGGGAATTGAATGTAGACCCGCAAGTCGCACACTCGAGCATCTGAACAAGATGGTGGTGGTTCAGAACCAACAGTTTGTTATCTATTATCGCGATATCTGATGCGGTTGCAATCCGCGTTGAAATCGGTAGCAATAACTACGGACCGATCTCAACCGGCTTGGCAGGAGTCAACACCGTTGCAATGATCGTTTTGGGTTGAAACCCGGAAGAAACCGGCGTTCTGACGTGATTGCAACGCCGGCCGGTTGTAACCGAGAAAAAAAAAGTCCGACAAACCCAAGCATCAGCACTGTTATAATATTGGAGGGCTGTATATAAGTAAAGCCAGTCAGAGAAAGTGCATGGTACCAGTATGTTTAACCACCAACTCTGAGCAGTACAGCCCTATCTTTGTTTTTCTTTTTTTATGGCTTGACTTTTGAATGGTGTGTATCACCAACTTGAAATACAACACATCATCAAGACACAGATCTGATATACAAAAAAAGGCATTGAAGTAAAAAAAACTAAGGTAATATAAAAACCAAGCATCAGGACTCTCATATCATTGGGAGGGTATAAGTAAAGCAAGTCAGAGGTACATAGCATATCAGTCATTTCAGATCCATACCCATTAGGCTCTCTCCTTCTTCCATCCCTTCCTTCACCCCCAGGCATTCGTCCATTCATCCCGCTTCCAAACAAAACAAAAAAACCTTCCCCTACCCACCCACCCTATGTCCCCCCTTCTCCCCATCAAAAAACGCAACCAACTGCCCAATCGGAACCTTCCCCACCGGCTTCGGCATGGGCATCTTCACCTGTAACCCCTCTTGACTTTGCTGGTGCCTCCTCAACAACAAAGGGTCCACGAACTTGGTACCCCCTCCTCCAAGACCACCACTTATCATCCCGTCTCCCGTCCCAATGGAGCTGGTACCAGAGGAAAGCCGCTCAGAAGAGCGGGACCTCAACTTCGGTTTTAGCGGCGCGGTGGTTCCCATGGTAGGAGTCTGTAATGGAGTCTGAGGAGGGAGGAGGCTGGCGTACCCATACGCACTCTGCGCCCTGATCCGACGAGTGGATGGCGATGGTGAGGTCGTGGCGGTGGACTTGTAATCGCCACCCCCAGGTCCACCAGGTGATATCGAGTTGA